GGAGGAGGGGAGGGACCACCAACTGCTTATCAGTCAAACCTTGACAAGATTAAATTAAATCGATTGATTCGGGTGGTTTCAATCGATTGATACGGGTGGTTTAATCGATTCGAGTTGTTTGCAGAAATCAGGGCATGCTGGAACTTGCCAGGAAACTGGACAAGAGCAGAGCAGGAGGAGCAGAAGCAGAGAGCAGGAGGAAGAAGAAGCAGGAAGAGGATTTGGGCAAGGAGGAGGAGCAGGAAGAGGAGAAAGAGTGGGGGCAGAAAGAGGAACAAGGTGGCAAGGGATGAAAGACGGGCAGGGCAAAGATAAGGCAAGGAGATGTGAAGAGAAATAGAAAGAAGAGACGGGTGAATAGCGGGAAGGAATATGATAGCGGGAATGAGGTGATGGCGCATGAAAGTTCTTGATCGAATGCAGCTGTGGATATGGAGGAAGTTGAGACCAGCGGAGTTTGATGCTAGCAAAACAAGAGAGGCTGTGGACAGATAGGCTGGAGAAAACCAGGGAGGAAGCGAATCTTTGAAGTTCGATCAGTCTCTTTGTGATCAAACTAATGGAGAGTTCTTGTTCTCACAGATGCGAGCGACATTCGCCTTTCGCCGTGGACTTGCGACGTTGGTAAGGAAGAACATACGGCCGATGGCAGTGCACGCGTTCCAGCCTATAAGAGCTGCTTCCGTCACAGACAGCCGAGCTTGCAGCATGCAGCAACGTTGCAACTCAATCAGCATGCTGCGAAGAAGCTTCTCCAGCGACGCCACGATCAAGCCAACGAAGCCTAAGGTAGTCCAAGACCTGCCGACGCAGAAGTTTTGGGAGCAAATCTTCGACATCCTGGACCTCGACCAGATTGCTGGCGATGATGGCGAGAGTCTCAAGGAACAGATCACGATCACCAAGTGGTACAAGACACCAAGGAGCGCTGTGAAGGCGGGAGAGAAGGTGTTCGAAGTAGAAGCTGCAAGCATCATGATGGACTTCTGCGCTGATCATGCCGGGTTCTTGGGAGCTCACCTCGTAGAGGAGGGAGAGATCTTGACCCGCGGCAAGATAGCTGCGCAGATCCTGGACGTGCCGGAGACAGTGGCTGACCTGTCGGACGAGGTCATGCAGGACGAGCTGACCAAGGCGGAGGGGAGCGTCAAGACGTTCGAGGAAAGCATCGAGAGGTTCACCAAGGAGAGGAGATTGCTCAAGGAGGACCTTTCTCTTGCCTGCCGCCTCGCCGGGAATCGAGAGGTTGAATTTTCGCCGCTCTGCTTCGCCTCGCGGCTCCCTGGGAACCAGAACGTCGTAGTCGTCCCTCCCCCCAACGTCGACTACAAGGTCGTAGGCAGCTCCAACCTTGATGAGTTCGAGCTGGGAAGGGAGGGAGCGTCTCCCAGCGAAGTCGAGAAGGCTCCTGCCCCTCTCTCAGCAGATCGCAACCTGGTCGTGAAGGTCTTGAGGGAGCATAGGAGCATCAACACCGTCCTCCTCGCAAGGCCCTTCCATGCTACCACTGTTCCGCAGCTCGACTCGAGCATCAAGGCTGCGGTCACTCAGTCGGTAGAGTCTCGTGTCAACGCCACGATCGCTGTCTCTCCCCTTCCTCTCCTTGCCGACGATGACGTGAAACTCCCTCCTCTCTCCTCCTCCTCCTCCTCCTCCTCCTCCTCCTCCTCCTCCTCCTCTCCAGCTTCCTCCAGCCAGTTTTGCATCCTTGCGCTGGACTGCGTCGTCGTCGCCTCCGACTCGGTCTCGAACGCTTTCTTCCTTCT